ATTTCATTCATTTTTTAAAAATGTGGGGAGCAAATGGGGGAAGGGCAGAGAGAGAAGGAGCAAGAGAATCCTAAGCAGGCTTTGTGTTGTCAGTGCAGAGCCTGATGCAGGGCTCAAACTCAGGAACCGTGAGATCATGACCTGAGCTGAAATCAAGAGTCGGATGTGTAACTGACTGAGCCACCCAGGTGCCCCTTATTCTTTTTAATGGCTGAGTTGCTTGTTACCTAATTTTTTAAAAATATTCATTTTTGAGAGAGAGAGAGAGAGAGGGAGAGAGAGAGAAACAGAGTGCAAGCAGGGGAGGGGCAGAGAGAGAGGGAGACACAGAATCTAAAGCAGGCTCCAGGCTTTGAGCTGTCAGCACAGAGCCTGATGTGGGGCTCGAACTCATAAGCTGTGAGATCATGACCTGAGCCCAAGTTGGATGCTTGACCAACTGAGCCACCCAGATGCCCCACTTGTTACCCAATTCTTAATTATCCTATGACCATCACTTATGTATATGGGTTCAATAGAAATATTTTATGCTTTGAGTCCAAATTAAGATCTGGATGTCACGGCTAATGTATAATATGCTCTAATTATGTGGTTGTTGTTACTCTAGAGGGTTGGAAAGCTGTGCGATTGGCTTTTGTCCTAAACCAGTTGTAGCTATGGACTTGCCAGATGAGAGCCAGTGGGATGAAACCACCTGCAAGTTGGCTGTTTGTCAGCATCCACAGTGCTGGGCAACGATCCGCCGGGTTGAGAGGGGCCACCCTCGAATCCTGGGCCCTCCCTGCAAAACAGCTCTGAATAATGAAGGTGAATTTAGCCCTGCTTCTTCCTTGTAAGATCTTTGAACTATTTTCGCTTGGCTCCCTTTTGACATTTTACACGTTTTCTTGTCTTTTTTCTTAGACAAATCCCCAGTGCTCACCATTGTAAACATCTCAGATTCCTGCTTCCGGGCCAAGAGACTTGCTCACGGTCATTTATCAGGATTTACCTTCACCAAAGCTCCCTCTTTATTGTGTCAAGGTTCAAAGTTTGACTCCAAATTTCAAGGCAGGTAAATTATCATGGAGTCTTCCCTTATGAGCCTCCTATCTCAAAATTCTGAGTTGACTTCCTTGACCCATAGACTCTGAGAAAGCTAAATTAAAAATAAAACACCAGTTCAGGGCGCCTGGGTGGCTCCAGGCTCATAGCCTGGAGCTTGCTGCGTATTCTGTGTCTCCCTCTCTCTCTCTCTCTGCCCCTCTCCAGCTCGGGTGGTCTCTCTCTCTCTCTCTCTCTCTCTCTCAAAAATAAATAAATTAACTTAAAAATAAAAAGGCCACTAGTTCAGTTAGAGAAATGGTGAATAGGCAGTGGGAAACAAAAGGAAAGCTTTATTTTTATTGTAGGACTTGATTAAAATAGGGTTATATTAGTTTGCTAGGGTCACTGTAACAAAATACCCTAGGCTATGTGGCTTAAACAACACAAATATATTTTTTCACAGTCGAGAGGCTAGAAGTCCGAGAATAAGGTATTGGTAGAGTTGTTTTCTTCTGAACCCTTTCTCCTTGGCTTGTAGGTGGCCTATGTCTTTTTTTTTTTTATTAAAAAAAATTTTTTTTAATATTTATTTTTGAGAGAGAGACAGAGCATGAGGGGGAGAGGGGAAGAGAGAGAGAGGGAGACAGAGAATCTGAAGCAGGCTTCAGGCTCTGAGCTGTCAGCACAGAGCCCAACGCAGGGCTCAAACTCACAAACTGCGAGACCATGACCTGAGCTGAAGTCAGACACCTAACCGGCTGAGCCACCCAGGTGCCCCTAGGTGGCCTATGTCTTAACATGATCTTTCTTCTGTGTGTCTTTGTCCCAATATCTTTTTCTTCTTTGTTAATTAAGTGCTTAATTTTAACTCCAATATAGTTAATATTATTATTATTATGTTAGTTTCAGGTGTACAATATACTGATTCAACAATTCTGTGAGTTACTCAGTGCTCATCATAAGTGTACTCTTAATCCCCTACCTCCTTTTCTTAATAAGAGCACCAGTCATTGGATTAGGGCCTGTAGACAGGCCTAATATGACCTCACTTTGCCTTAATTACTTCCTTAAAGACCCTCTCTCCAAATACTGAGGGACTCAAATTCCGGGGTATTGAGGGTCAGGATTCAACGTAAGAATTTGTGGGCACAATTCAGGCCACCACGGGGAGCACCTCATCAGCCTCTGCAGGTCATCAGAAAACTGTGTCCACACATGCTCTCTCTCTTGTCTTTTATTTTTAGGTATGAAACTATTTGTAAGCTCTTGAAGGCAGAAACAATGGTTTCCTTTTGAATCGCCCACAGAATCTAGGCACCCAGTTAGTGCTTGCTGATAGGGGAAGCGAAGGGACAGACGTCTGTGGAGAACTTAAGACTTGTAAAATTCGAAACCTTATGGCCTGGAGTCAAGGCACTCCCGGCAGTCCTTGTACTGGTTCCTTTTCTCCTGTTTGATGTAAGCAGCCTTTGGTGGCTTCTGGTAGGCTAAATGCCGTATGGGAAAGGGTAGGACTACTTTCTGGTTCTCTAGGACTTGAACCTCGGGAAGAAGATGGCTTCTCCCAGCCAGGGCCTATGGAGGCAAAGGCCATGACGTCACTCATGTTGTCACTCATTGAATTCACAAATGTATCTTAGTGGGGGCCACTTTGCTGGTCTCTGGGGATTCAGTGGTAAACAAGATTCAGTATTTTTTTAAGTCTTTTATTTTTGAAAGGGGGGGAGGGGCAGAGAGAGAGGGACAGAGGATCTGAAGCAGGCTCTGTGCTGACACCAGTGAGCTGATGCAGGGCTGGAATTCATGAACCGCGAGATCATGACCTGAGCCGAAGCTGGATGCTCAACTGACGGAGCCACCCAGGCCCCCCAGCAAGATAGTCTTTACCCCCAAAGGGCTTTCAGCCTAGCCGGGGAGGCAGAGAACCATTCCGTGTGCCGAGAAGGGCACCGTCTTCTGTGCAGGTGGCACCTGTGCCTACCCCTGAAATTTGGACAGTCTGGTGAAGTGGGGCGTTGCAGGTGGGAGATGGACGTGAAGAGTGTTCTGGACTACAGAAATAGCATATCCAAAGGCCAGGAGGCAAGAGGAAGTTCTTTAGGTATGAGGAAAAGGGTCCATCGTGTATGCAACATAGAGCAGGAATGGGAGGGTGGGCAGAGGTGAGGCTAGGGAGCTGGAGAACAAACAGCGGCCAACATCACATAGATCAGGCTCAGGAGTTGGGTCTTTATCTTACACTTCCTTGGAATATTTATTCGTTCGTACACTTAACGTGTTTTAACAAATAAATATAATGCAAGTGATATGAAAACGTAAGGGGACAGTATTCTTTTTTTTGTGGTAAATATGCGTTACATTAAGTTTACCATTTTAATTGTTTTTAAGTGTACAGTTCAGCAGCATTAAGTTCATTCACAGTGTTGTGCAACCATCACCACGATCCATTTCTAGAACTTTTTTTTTTTT